TTTTTTTAAGARGACAATTTYATTTCYTTTGGCTGCCACACAGGTTCTTCATTCCGAGAAGCACATCTGTGGCTTTATCTCTCAGATTTACTTCTAAAATTCCCTAAATATGCCACTCATTTCGTAGACAGTTATTACGTGCTGACATGCGCCCTCCTTCTCAAGGTTAGGTCAGGTCTGTAAGATGGTATCTCCCCCTTTGAGGAGCTTGTAATCCAAAAGAGACTCCAAAACACAACACTGAGGAAACGGGCGGCAGGTTTTAGTGTGTAGAATTAGCCTTAGAATTCAGCCCTCGGAGTCCCATATGCTCCTGGAGGTCTTCATAGGAGCCACAGAGTCATTGAAATGTGAAGTGACGTGCCAACGTGAAGTGACCTGGCCAGGAAAGCAGGGGACTCAGGAGGGAGGATGGCAGCCAGTGTTCCTTCCAGGCAGACGTTGCCCAGGCTGCAGCCCCTTCCTTCCTCCTCCCCTGCCCTGGGCTGCCTTGAGGGTTCCCACAGGCCTTGACACATCTCTCTGAACTTAAGGCAGGCCACACAGAGTTTGCGGATGGCAGTCTGCACCGGGGAGCAAGTCCTTCCTTGAAGGCAGACCTGGGCAGGGCATTTCCACGCTCACCTGGAGACCTCTGCTGAGAGGGAGACAGGCCAGGGCAGGGGGCACGGGGGGCTGAGGCTTGACCCCAGGGGGAGCAGTGAAGACTGGATCTTCCATTTGTCATTCGTCTCGGCTGTTGCAGTGTAAAACATACCAGCCCTGATCTTGAACTCAATTTTGAATTTGAAAATCAGCAGCTGACACAGGGCCTGGGATTGTGCTCTCAGTATCCTCCTCTAGGAGACCAATAGAAAGCTGAGGAATTTAACTCCAAGAAGAGGAGAGTCTCATAGGGCTGTTCCTTGAAAACTCAGTATAGTTATTTTTTTTCTTTCTAGAGGATACCCACTGTCTTGAAGAATATGTATCATCAAGTTCCCCACTGCAGTTTTTCCCCATTATATCACATGAGAGGGGCTGAGTATGAAATTGGGGCATGGTACCATTCTGTCTTTGCATTGCTAGGATGCCCCTCCAAAATCCTGGAACCGACTGTTCTTACCACATAGAGACATACTGGCAACGTGTTATTATTAAAGGYCTAACGTAGATAGACCTTTTAAGATATGCTCTTCAACTTTTGAAGARTATTTTTGCAGAATCTAGAATCCAGGATTCACAGTTTTTCTCTGGGCACTGTAAAGTCTCATTCTACAGTTTTCTTGCATGCTTGATTTGTGAAAAGAATTCTTATTCTTGCTCCTTTTTTGATAATGTGTCTTTTTTTCTCCACTGTCTACCTTGAAGATGTTTCTTTGTACTTGCTTTTAACAATATGAATGTTACATGCCTAGTATTTGGTGGTGTGGGATTGGTAATATTTAAAGGATGAGATATTTAAACTTCTATAATCTGTGGGTAAGCATCTGTCATTTATCCTGGAATATTCTTGTCAGTAACTCTTCAAACATTTATTCTGCCAATTCTCTTTCTTCTTCCCCTGGAATTCCATTATATCCATGTTAGTCACTCTGGTGGCTCCGCTGCTTTTAGGTGTTAATATCGTGGGGCGTACAAGGTGGAGTGTCCATGGTACAGCAAAGCTCATGGTGGCCAGAGAGCAGAGGGAGAGGGAGAGGGAGAGGGAGAGGAAGAGGAAGAAGAGGAGGGAAAGATAAATATAGAGAAAGAGAAGGGTCAGGGGTAAATAAACCCTTCTAGGGCATGCCCCCGTCACACAGTGACATACTTCCTCCAACAAGCCCCACCTCCTGTTACCACCACCTCCCAGTAGCATCACCAGCTGGGACCAAGCCTTGGATGCCTGAACCTTTGGGGGACATCCCCAATACAAATGCTAAGAAATACTCTATTTTCCCTACTCTTTTACTTTTTCTCTTTGTGTTTCAGTTGGGGTAATTTCTACGTTAAAGTCACATGTAATTCTTTCTGCTGCTGCTGGATCCAATCTTTTGATGAGTTAGTCAATGGCATTATTTATCTGTTACTGACTTTTCATTTTTATTGTTTCCATTGGAGAGCTTTTCCTAGTTTCCTTAGCTTTGCTTAACAATAGCTTTCTCATTTTGCATGTTTTCTATGTTTCCCATTAGATCCTTCAATATATTTTCATAGTTTTTTTTAATTCACCATCTGATTAGTTACAGTTTCTATGTCATATCTGAGTCTGATTTCCACTGCTGCTTTAGAATGTCTTTGTAATTCTGCCTATCTAGGAACCAGGGATATCTTTCCATATAAGTTCTTCAAGACCTTAGAAGATGGAAAGATCTCCCTTGTTCCTGGATAGGCAGAATTAATATTGTCAAATGACCATACTACCAAAAGTACTATACAGGTTTAATGC